TAAATATTTTCGTTTACTCGCCAGTCTGATAAACTATATATGGATATGTATATTATATATTTTTTATATTTATTTTACAAACATATATAATGTTTGTAAAATGTCACCGCTTTTTAAATATCTGAAAGTACACTCTTAACATCAGGCAGTCAAGCATTATACTATGATATTATGATAATCAAGTATCATTTAATGATAGAACTTTAGTAATGTGAATTAAAACTTGGTAACCATATATGGATGCATATTAGTCATTTTAACTAAACTTAGGACTTTTTTGGTCATTGTGTTTCCGTAAAATAAAAATGGGGGAGAAAATTTTTTTTTTTAAGTTAATTCTTAAGAATTAACGAGCTGCTGGATTCATGAATATTAATCAGGTTAAGTGCTTTCGCTAGAATTGATTTGCTGAATTCAAATCAGGGACAATAATAGGTGAGTGCCAGCCAATGAGGTTGTCGTTTGCGCATTAGTTCCGCCCCACTACCGGAGAAACCAGCAGTTCTTAAAACCTGAAGAACTCCAAAGGAACGCTGTTATTTTGACAGGAAAATACAACAAAGAATATTGTTTACATGTTGCACGTTAATTCTGCATGGTATGTAAGACTCTCTCGCTCTTTTTTCACACGCAAAGAGACAAAGCAAAGTGACGGCGAGGCGTGCACCTTCACACTAAAGTTTACGGTACACGAAATACAGGTGCGCTGCGCATCCATAGAGATGAACTGAAAAATATCACAAATCGCTTGACTGCGAGAGAACTCTGAAGCGCTCAGTCAGAGTGTTCAGTGAGTGAAAATATATCTGTGCTTAACTTATACTTAGCCTCCAACTCACACACTGACGAGTAAAATCTGAGAATTTATTAGCTAGTGGCTAATATTAGACATCTTTAGTCGCCCAGAGTAAAGATTTAGTCACATATGCGAATGATTTACTCACATTGTAGAGGGTTGGATTGTATTAATCGGTCAAAATTCTTACGGTCGGTTAACCGGTTAAAATGAACATCCCTATTTAAAGTATTATATTATTATTATTGTTGTTGTTGTTTAATATTTCAAACATAGATAAATGCTGTCATCTCCTCCTGTAATTAGCAAAAATGTTTGGAATTACTTGAATATAAAAAAAGTGAACAGAGAATGTATTACATTCATAATGCATGATATGCAAATTACATGGACACATTAGTTCAAGTAATCACTATAAGCCCTGCTATAAGCTATAAGCCTTGTTCAAGTGATAGATCACAGTGCTAAGGTGATTTTAAAGTTGCTGTCCAGGCTAAGAATGAGCATTATTTAGACATCAGCTACGTGTAGATAATGCATTTCTCAATTAACTTGCAAATCTGTTCAATTAGAATAAAAACCCCAAGCCAAAAAAGGTAAGATCTATAACAAGATACAAGCCCTACAATCAAATATAGATTGCCTACAGCAAGCTGAGAGCACATTTTATCTCAACTGCAGAGTCAAAAGCAGTATTTAGCTCCTATATAGGAAGAACTGCATGACCTATGGGCTCACACTGAGAGCTAAACTCTCGCTCCAGGAGAGGAATGACTCCTGAGACACTGTTAACAAGAGAACAGCAAACCTTCCATCATAAATACCCACCATCTCCCTTATACCAACAGTTTGTGTCTACCGAGCAATATGCCGTGTGTTTATTTTTACAACAAACCCTCGCAGACTTCAATCTGCCAAGCGTTCAAGTGCACAAACACAATGTGCTCTTGTATGAGTGATTCTATTATGCCTTTGTAACTATATATAGCCTTTGTAGGATGTCGTGCAACCATATGACCAAGATAAACATCACCAGGAATCCTGACAGTTTTTTTTAAATAAAAGAAACAGGCATTACTCTTAGACATGTGATGAAGGTTAGTTACACTGTGCTGGAAATTAACAAAATTAATCTAAAATAAATAATAAATCAATTTACAAGAAAAAAAAAACTAGCCAGGCAAGTAAGATAAAGTACATTTTAAAGTACATGAATAAATCAAATACAAAGAGCGGGCCAAGGAGAACTAAACCGCTTTACGTGCCCCAGAAAACATTTTGAAAGGGTTCAAGCATAATTTCTGTATGGCCAGCAGCTGAGCTCTATGCATTGAGAAAAGCCTGAATAACTCAAACAACACAGATTCCATTCATGTGCTCTGTATGAAATCTGCCAAAGAGGAAAATAAACTGTTGAGACAGGCGGTCAGCTTGTCACTGCCTCCAATTTTCCTCTAATATTGTCCTAATGAATCCAGCAGTAATGCATCAAGACGCCCCCTGGTATTCTACCAGTATTCACAAAAACTGCCCAGCATTTGCTGCCAGTCTAGCAGGACTATTCACATTCATGTTAGTGAATCTATGTGGAGTGGGAAGTTAACATCCTTTCAACAGTACCACAATTTCATTTTTCAAGTAACATTCAACTTTCCAACAGAAAATTCACAAAACAAAGCATTTATAAATCAAGTGCAAGGGTTTCATTTAGTCATTAAAAAAAAAGTTATGATCCTAATTTGCCTTTGAGAATGTAACACTAAAGCTCTGTTCCAAAACCTGAGCTGCCTCATTCAGGGCTCTACGCTTACTTTTCTTTTTAGGAGTACTTGTGCTCCTAATTAAAAACATTCAGGAGCACCTTCTGATCAATAACAGAAATTAGCCTTTCCATTACGAGGTGATAATTGACTCCTTAAAGCTGCAGTCTGTAACTTTTTTTGGTTAAAAATGATCCAAAATCAATATTTGAGCAAGTACATAACCAGCCAGTGTTCGAAACTATCGCCTTACTTTAGCCCGATTCACAACAGTCATCTTATAATAATGTTTTATAATTTGAGTGGTACGGGAAGGTTTTCGCGGGAAATTCGAGCATGGCACTGCGTCATTACGTCACGTCTGTAAACAAAGAAGTTGTCCCGGCTACTAAACTATCGCATGTGAGGATCCTGCAGGTGGCCGATCGTTTATAGCATTTTCTCACGGCAGCTGGAATAATTAAATGTATAATTTTGATGGCATATTTTAATCCAGAAAGGATTATGCGTTTATGAAACACATGTGAATGAAATTAAATTATATTCCAGTTTTAAATGTGCTTCTGATTACAGATAGCTTGGGATTGCACAAGATTTATATTTTAAAGACAACCAGTTTGAAGGGAGCATAATTTGCTTTTTGGGTTAAAAGAATTTCTTAATATGAAATTCGAGTGGAATGACAATTAGAGATTACTGTACAGTGTACAGAAATTGAAATCTACTCGCTTATACACAATATATACGCAATATATATAGTCACGCAATGCTGATGTTGTTAACATTAACAATTTGAGAATAAAGTACAACAATAATAATAATTTGCACGGTTTGATGTGATATGAGCTAATTTAGATTAAATCACCATTGGTAGCGCAATTTATTGTAATGCTTTTTTTCCTCAGTTGGTCAGAACAAACGTGGCAGACTTGTTACTTACTTGTTCAGAATGATAATATCCAGTGAAAATGCTTATTTTAAATCATATATTCCAAGACGTAGGCTAGAATCTGTGAATGCAAAGTACAATATCCACACCAGTGCGGTGACTGACTGTCACACATACACCTCAAACAGTGTTGTGCAAGTTACTCCCAAACTGTAATATATTATAGATTACTTGTTACTGTTATTTAAGAGTAATTCCTTACCTTAAAATATTACGGTCTCAGAATTGTAATGCGTTACATGACTCCTGTATTACTTTTGAGTTACTTTCACCAAAATAACTACAGAAGTAGAACTTAAGGTAACACTTTATTTTAAGGTCTCTTAACTAGTTGCTTATTAGCATGCATATTACTAGAATATTAGCCATTTATTAGTAGTAATTAAGCACATATTAATGTCTTATTCTACATCCCTAATCCGACCCAATACCTAAATTAACAACTAACTATTAATAAGCAGCAAATTAGGAATTTATTGAGGGAAAATTCGTAGTTAATAGTGAATAAGTGTTCCCTATTCTAAAGTGTTACCATTCGAAAATGACAAAATGTACTGCAGAGCATTTTACATCCAGTAGAGGGCGATATGGTGTAGCATAATGACTGTGGGCTATCCAGGCTACTAACAATATAGCTTATAATTGGCAAAGTGAAGGCTCAAGACAATGCAAGAAAGGATGACAGCCAGAATCACAAACGATCCAAGTCTGTTAAAAGTATGGTAGAGGTAAAGTGATTATTTGGCAATATCTGTGAATAGTTTGGGTCTATTCCTGGTGTGCCTCACACCTCCTGAAAAGTGAAGCTGCGGGCTCTTTGATCGCCCCCTGGTGGCTGGCAGCAGTACAGGTCATAAACCCCGCCCTCTCCATGTAAACGAATGGGACTTGAGTCAAAATTTAAAAAATAAATTACGCTTCCAATACAATTTTCCGAAAGATGGTTTTGGTCATTTAAGGTAGTTGTTATCACGCTGATATACGTTAAATTGTTTGTTTTTGTGATAAGTTTGATTTTAGCTAGTAATTTGATGCTATAAAAATGGGGCGTGTCGTTATGGTTGATTGGGTCTGCGGGAGTTTGGGTGGGAGTTTGATAAACAGCTTTACATGTTCAACTGGTTTTAATCTCTCCCTCATTACCTCATACTGATGATTAAAACTCTTATCTGTCCACCGCATACACGTTCGAAGGTTAATTGCACTGCGTTCAGAACCTCAGGCCAAATTTATCCTCATATAGCTGCAAGACAACTCAATAACTAGACCAAACCACAGCTCTTTTTCAGACTAGAATAAAGCAGCACGTGCCGTCAGTGCATCTAAAAAATTCTCAAACTCCGATAAATCCATACTGTACTTCTCTGTGGTCAAAGGTTTAATGAGGTATGAACACTTAAAATAAGATTATGATAATGTCTATTACACATACAGATTCACCAATATATTTTCTATTGTTTGCCTTACACAGTGCTGTGTGGATTTGTGAACTTACAGCTCGTCACGTTGTCTCTGTGACAGCACCATGGTGACAGCAGGGATGGGACGGGGCAGGGGTGGGGGTCAGGTGTAGAGTGTGCAGCAACTGCTATCTCCTTGGCAGGAGATCAGAGATAGGACGCCGGGTCCGGCTTGCAGGGAGGTCAGCAGCTCACCCCAAACACTTCTCCTTAAAGACTGTCTCCAGGAACACCACACATTGACAGCCTGCAGGCATTTACCAGCTAGACGGTCCCTGCATCTGTGGAGGAAAAGGACACATTCGTCATACACAATAACAGACCCCCTGGTTGGAATCAGAATGCAAATAAGCACAGTGCAGATGAATAGTGGTCACATAAGCTTAAGGCAACAGTGGAAATATGCTACTGACCCTGTTCCTCTGACGGCAGCTTTGGGGGCTAACACAAATTTCATCAGGTGCTCCATCTGCTCTATTCCCCCCACACACACATCTCATTCTAGCCTGTATTCAGTCCTCTCTTTCGGCTGCCATGTGGAGCGTTTTGTTACAGACTCCTGCTGCCCCTGTCGGGAGCTCTGAACATGTGTAAAAGGGACCGATGACCCAGATTTTAGCATCAACCTACTTCTGCACTCCAGTGAGATACAGTTTGACATCAACAAGCAGGACTCTGAATTTCTCTCAGCTAAAAGAAAGATCAGTCGGGACAGCAAAAGTATTGCTACTTTACAACAAGACTATATAGGCTGGCAAGAGGCCATATTACAATAGTACTAAAGCCAAGCACACACTACAAGCCTGAAGAACACAACTGCTGGTCATCCCTGCCAACAGGACTGGGTATCATCCACTACCTGATACATGATACATATCTCACAGTACGATTGATGTATTAAAATGTAAACAGTCAATTTCAAACAGAGTAAATATAAACAGATTGGGCAAGGGGTGGGCGATACAGCCAAAATCTGTATTTTAGCCGGAAGCAATAGTTTGATGTTAAAAACATCTCATTGATGGCTTTGTTTATTACAAACATGCAGTTTTTCACTTAAGATGTGAATTGATGGGCTGGATTCATGTGGATCACTTGTGGATTATTGTGATGCTTTTATCAGCCGTTCAGACTCTCATTCACTGCAGAGGATCCATTGGTGAGCAAGTGATCTAAATTTCTCCCAATCTGTTCAGATGAAGAAACAAATGCATCTACATCTTGGATGGCGTGAGGGTGAGTACATTTTCAGAAAATTTTCATTTTTGGGTGAACACGTCCCACACCTTCCAGTGTAAATGCAGTCAGATGTTATTAAAATGACAGTATCAAAAAGAAAAACAGAAAACCACTTACTGCTAATCTGCTTCTTTACGGTCTGTTTACTTCATTAATAACTTTGTAAATGTGAAATGTTTAATTAAGAATTACTTCAAAGCTACGTGCCATTATTCTCATTCAATTTGTTAATACTTCGCTTAATATATATCTTTAAATAAATAAAGTTGTGTTCAAAAGTATATTAGCTGCTATTACATATTTGAAATCAGTATCAAGTATCAGTAAATTAATTGGCACTGATAAAAATTATTACAATTTTGGTATTGAGATGACCACAGTGGGTATCTTTATGATACAGCATTGACTAATAAACAACTAATCCAGCCATTAGAAACAGTGCTCTCTGAGACGCGTGATGGGAAACACTATAAGCCTCTTAGAGACCTGCATCTTGCTATAGGGGTCTATGGCACTACTCATGAAGAACAAGAGGTAAGCATACCACATTCCTCACCCTGAACACCGTACACTACACATATTTACCTACACATAAATCTGACAGGTTCAGCACTGAGCCACAGGACAAGGAGACTAAAAAAAACAGCGGTTAAGTGAGTTAACGTGCTTTCAAACCAAATATTATTAATAAGAATCAGAGAACAGTCTTTATCAGCAATTGACCTGCTTGAGACGTTTATCTGTAAATTTCCAGATCATGAGCACCACTTGAACTATGAACAACTAGAGAGGCTCTGATAGTCTGACAGGCCTGTAGTGTTGGGCGATATGCTCCATAATCATATCGTCCTATCATCAGCATGTGAGATCACCGATGCACAATATCATGCTAATTTACTTAATTATTTACAGGGTAAAAGCTTGTTTACACCGGGACGAATATCGAGCGCGATTATCGCCAACATTTAACGCCTCGTGATTAAACAAAGGGCGCCAATGTGAGTGTGCACACCGACGCGCAAAGCGTGAGGCGTAAAAAAAAAATTTAAGCGCCTCGGGCTCGTTTTTTTGGTTTGACGCGCCATGATAAAAACTGTCCAACCAATGAGATCGGCACTTTTGTTCACGTGCCTGGAGCTGCTGAAGTTACATTAAAACACGACTTGGTGGCGCTCAAGCACAAAATGGTCTTGCCGAGCACACATTGATATCTAACGACGAAGAGGAATTAAGTAGACCAAGAAGATGCATCGAGGCAAGATGAATGTAGAGCTGCTGGTCTCATTGGTGTCTGAACACAAAGGGCTTTATGACAAACGTGACAGCGACTACAAAAATCTCGATAAGAGGGAGTTGTTATGGAGAGGAATTGCAGATCAAATAGGATTCGATGTGTACCGGGTATTTCTGTTTTTCATTAAGCGCTATCTAATGTCAGGGAGTGAATTTGCACGTTCACTCGGCTCATCGCCTGCGAAAATCGCTTGGGTATGAACACAAAAGACGCATCGAAAAACGTTGCGATAAGCACGTGCGATAATCGTCCCGGTGGGTATATTTTTGGAAAGTTTCCAGAAATGTACCACCCCTTTGCAACCCTACCTAGGATGTCATGTCATAAAATATTTTTAATATGACTGAATTTGTATTTAACATGATAATTTAATAGAAACATTGTAAATTACTAATTATAATGCTTACATTTCCTCAACAACAGAGAACATTTACATTATCAAAAAGAACATGACTTCAGTCTAGTTTATGCACTATAAAGAACACTCCCGTTATAATCAGTGAAGCTATCTACACTGTATGATTAATAAATCTCATCGCACGTACATCTGCACTTTGTTGTTAATGATGAGAGAATTTGCGAGAGAGTAGAATTCAGTCAGCGAGCGTACGCACTGAACAACAAAACTCCGGTGTTTCAGCAATGACTCATCTGAACGCCTCTGATAGGACATTGCATTCATAAACTCAATGGAATCGTGTGTGATTGGTTATAATACACAACACTGTAAAAACACGAAAAAATAAGTATGATGGAACAAATAAGCCCTAATATTAATTAGATAGTATTTAGGGCTGCACGATTAATCAAAATTAAATTGCAATCACGATTAAGCAAAAGCTGCGATTGTCATGCACATCTTGTCAGGGAAGCACGGTTCTGTGATCAGTAGTAAATCTCCATTCGAAGGCCAGAGAGAGCTCTCACGCGGAAACTCCAAATACGCCTCACAGAAGAAACTCAGGAAATCCCTATAGCGGTTGCTGAATAAACAGAAGATTTAACTGCTTTCATAGATTCAACGTAGGGCTGGACGATACGGCCAAAATTTATATCACGATATATTTCTTAATTTCAGTCGATACGATATAATTCCGATATCAATATGAACACTTAAAAAAAAGCCTCGTAAAAACTGCCAAGAATGCCACAACAGATGTCTGTGCATACAAATTTATGAAAAATGAATTTGCCAAGTCTCTGACACCTCATATAAAACCATATATTTCAGAAAAAAATAAAAAATAATCAGCACAAATAAATTCATGTTCACCTTTTATTTGTATGTAGCCTTTATACAAAAAAGAAATGTGAAATCACGATCACATCAAAAAGTTTTTGAACAGTAAGATTTTTAATGTTATTAAAGAATTCTCTTCTTCCAATCCTGCATTTATTTGATCCAAAATACAGCAAAACCAGTAACATTTTGAAATATTTTTACCATTTAAAATAACGGTTTTCTATTTGAAAATATTTTAAAATGTAAATTATTCCTGTGATTTCAAAGCTATATTTGTAGCATCATTACTCCAGTCACATGATCCTAATATTCTGATTTGCTTCTCAAAAATCATTTATTATTATGTTGAAAACAGCAGAGTAGAATTTTTTCAGGTTTCTTTGATGAATAGAAAGTTCAGAAGAACAGAATTTATCTGAAATAGAAATCTTTTGTAACATTTTAAATGTCTTTATCATCACTTTTGATCAATTTAAAGCATCCTTGCTAAATAAAAGTTAATTTCTATAATTTCATACCGACTCCACCCTTTTGAATGGAATAGTGTATAACGTTACAAAAGCTTTTTTATTTCAGATAAAAGCTGATCTTTAGGTCTTTCTATTCATCAGAGAATCCTGAAAATGTTTTACACTCAACTGTATTAAATATTGATAATCAGCAAATCGGCATAGAATGATTTCTGGAATATGTGACACTGAAGACTGGAGTAATGATGCAGAAAATTCAGCTTTGATCACAGGAATAAATTACATTTAAAAATATATTCAAATAGAAAACATTAAAAATCTTACTGTTCAAAAACTTTTGACTGGTAGTGTAGGCTAGGGGTCGACCGATTATCGGCGCCGATATTAAGCATTTTTATGATTATCGATAATTTTCAAAACCGATTTGCCGATAAAATTACTTAATTTTGAAACGCACTATTTGGCTCTGATGCAGCCTGTCAGAACTCACCACTTTGTGGCCTAAAGCAGTCTCCACCCACCGCTCATCTGATTTGTTGGGAGTCACGAGTCCGACCAATCAAAGCGGAATTCACTCTCACTCCGAAAGCGCTTGCTACGTGGAGCTGCTTCAGTGATCACGCATCAGTTGTCTTTGAAGGTAAGGCAGCAGCAGACGTTGTAATAGATCCCAATCCACTAACGTTGCACTTAAGTTGCAAAACACCTCAATATTATCTATGATTTGCGCAATGCGGAAAACGCGGACGGGATCACGGAATCCAGTCATATAAATGGAATTTATTGTATGACGCAGAATGTCACGGAATTTGTCAAAGTTTGGATGAGTTAATCAAAAGTAGGTCAGTACACTTAAATAGTCGCAATATGGACTAGTATCTGTAAATATTCAGCCTCAAAAATACTGTTTAAATATGGATCCAGCATGTTCTGCGTGTCTCTGTGTATGTAAATGGCACAGACGCGCGGTGTTGTTTTCTACACATACAAAGTGTGCGACGCTCGCGGTGATTTCAGCTTCTGTCATCTCACTACATGAGGACATAAATACATGAACAACATCTCCAGAACTGCTCTGACTCCCTCTAAGAGTCACTTCATGAGCATTTGACTGTTTCATTTGAGTAAAACTATCTTCATATCATTTACATAGACCTACAGAAACACGTTCCCCATGGCAACCCGTCAAAATATAAGTTCGGGTTAGCTTAATGAAATTATCAGAAATATATTACTGTGGTGCAGTACGATGTACATAATACTACTCAGGGATTAAAGTTTTCCATCGCTACGACAGATTTCCATCTATTGAAAAAAAAATGAGGGGAAAAGAAACATGTAGCACATTGTTGTTGTTCTGCCGGTGTTCTGACAATTTGTTGGTAGCATAATCTGATAGGTAGCATTATTTGTCAGAACACCAGCACACCAAAAATCCTCCCCGCCACAGCTGCAACTTCTCACTGACAACATAATGCTCACATCATTCACGGGTTATTAGCAGAGAACA